GTACCCAAGCAGAGAATCAGGGAATGGCAGATTTTATGCTGCCTCTCTAGAGAGGGTGCTGTGTGTGGTATTGGCTGGTTGTCTAAAACAACACAGACTCAGCAAATGGAGAAAATGGTTTAACATCTGCCTGTTGAGTTGATAAATGGTGAAGTGCTCTAGTGGCAGCACACAACCCCATATGTGCACTTGGAGCAGATGGCTTTGACGTGTGTTTGAGACAAATGTGCTGTCCCTTCTGCCCCCTCCAGCCTCAGCAGGAGAGGGTGCACACAACCAACCTGGGAGTGCTTCAAAAGCCATAAAAACGTGAAGTGTAAATAAACCACGCTGTGCTGACTTTGTTTCTGTGTAGTCACTGAGCCTTGAGTTTTGGGGGGGGGTGATGTGCATTCAGTAAATTGAAGTGGGGTGGGTGACCTGCTATTTGCATGCTTCGACTCGTTCCTTGTGACAGGGATTGCAGACAGTGCCACACGTAGGTCACTTCAAAGTGACAAAATTTAATTTCTTGGTGGTGGCACATTTCTTTCGCTACATGCAGTTACTGGCTCTTGGTCTTTTCTTGGCCATTTCCTAACACTCATTTGGTTGTCAAGAGAATATTGATGGCTGAAGTATTAGAGACAGACAAGGTGTTAACATCGGTATTTCAGAAACGACTGTGTAGATGTTGTTGGAGTTTCAATGTTTATTATAAGGAAAGGGAAAACCCTTGAAGAATGGGCTTGTGTGGAGCTGTGCAGGAAGCAGATGCAGAGTTAAAAGAGCTGGGCCAGTGGTTCTGGTTGATACAGATATTTCAGCCTCTCTTGCAGGCACATGAAACCCTGAAGGTTTCCATAATAATGTCTTTCTTTGCAGAAGGCTATAGGAAAATTACAGTATATGTATAATAGCTGTGTCAGTAGGCAGAGGTCAGTGTAAATTTATTGAAATGCTGTGTTGGAGAAGCAGTAATTCTGGGCAATTACTGTTAGGTTTGAGACAGAGTAAAATTGCAAACAGTCTTTAGCTAATGTTGTATGAATTGGCATTTGTCTTAATTTGCTGGGAAACTTCCCAAGTGGTGGACATACTTTGCTAATGTGGGTAAAATATCAGTGGCTGATGCTTATGAGCTTTTGTTACGTTTTCTTATGATAAGTCAGAGTCTGCTGGCTCTGGCAGTCAGTCTGTCCAAAAATCCAGTGGAAATGGGATGTGTTCTTTGCTTTTGAAGGCTTCCTTCCTTGCTGGCTAAAGCTTCCTTTTAAGTTGCAAGATCTTTTGTCTGACATCCCTGAGTGTTTCTTGTGTTCTCTTTTTATAAAAGCAATGGAAGGCTGGCAGCCAAGTCTGAAAGCATTTAACTCATGAAGGCTCTGCTGTCATTAATTTTAAACACGTCACTCTGGTGTCGGTCAGCTCGACTACCAACAAAGAAAACTAAAGTGTTCCCATAAATCATTTTATTGTCCTAATCCAACCTAATTAACTAAACTAAAACTCCTATTCTGATGAAGCAGTCCTTCCTGTGAGACATCTGCCTCTTTCTTAATGGATTTTAGCTTTTATTTCTGCTATAGTGCACAAGAGTTGGTGACCATAATAACATTAAGTCCCTTTTGCCATCTTTGGGGAGCTCACCTGGCACAAGGGAATGGTTAATTTTAAATTTCCAAATGCAGAGATATTTTTATTTTTTTTCATTCCTTGGAAACATGGTTTGCAAGCCAGCAGGAAGCAATAAAATCTCTATTTCTAGAAGTGGATTAGACTCGTTCCCTGCAAGCTTTGCAAGCAGCAGCCTAAAGTCTCTGAGAATTTTGGGATTTGCTTCTGTAGTTCATTGCCACGCTCCTGACACGGAAGGTTTGACTTAATAGTGTTAAGTTGATGTAATCGTGCCATGAGCTCCTGACCTGTTCTTGAACTCCGGGGCTGGAGGTGACTGAGGGGAGCCGGCAGCACTGTCAGTGTGCAGGGCTTGCTGTGACACACATGACATGATCCGAGATGGGGAACATCTGGTGAGCACAGATGTAAATTCAGTGTAGGACAAAAAGGTGGGAATTCTGACTAAAGAGCCATTTCTGCTCTTGGGGATAATCTGTTGAAGATTTGTTAAGTTCTAGTTTTGTTCCCTCCTTTTTCTGTATCTTTGCTAAAAAAGCAGAGCACTAAGAAACACTGGTTTTATGTGCAACCCTTATATATTCTTATTCCCTTTATCTACGAGGTGACTTTACATGGGGTGAGGGAATTCTATTTTCTCACTTCTTGAAATGATAATAAAACTGATAGCATCCACCTTTCCAGGGGAGTGAGTGGAGAGCAAAGAATTCAGATGGACTGAGATATTCCAGGGGCTGGCAGAGTTGCAGTGTTGCTGCTGGGAAAGCAGACTCTGTTTGATCTCTATTTGATCTTGGCTCCTCTGAGACCTGACAGATTTGTAAGTCATAGCCTTTAGCTGCTGCTTTGATTGTGAGGGCAAAGTGCTGGAACGAGGTTTTGTTCTCAAAACGGAGAGAAAGGAGCAAGAATGAAAAAGTGTGTGGAAGGAGGCAGGGGAAAAACCAAGGCCAAGTGAAATTCCAGCCAACAGGAAGGATATAACTGGAAACCTGAGCTACTAGCAAAGTTGAAAAATGAAATATAAAAAAAAAAAAAGGAACATTTGCTTAAGCCATGTTATTGTGAGGTCGTGGATCTTCTCCTTTCAGTCTCTGCTAAAATCAGGCAGTTTTGATCCAAAACCAGCAGAACACGAATCTTGAGGTAGTGGGGGGAGCTGTGGGGTTTGCCTGGAGCAATAGGGAAAAATCTTCCTGATTACCTTAAGAGGAGGCTCAGCACACAGTGGGGCTTGGAGCCTCCATTTGGGAAACCCCATGGAGGTGAATGGATTGCTGTGCAAACATGAGCTCTGTCTTGGAAAAGTGCTGGGCAAATCTGTCCCTTCATGCCTCATAGAATGTGGCACCCAGAGTTCCCTTACTGCTTTTGTTTGGCATTTGGACTTTTAAAAATCCCTCAGCCCCAGTGGAATTATTCTGGAAAAATCTCTTGCTGCTGTTTGTGCCCCTCATTGCTCCACAGGTTTTTGGTCAGTTCATCTTCACTTTGCTCTCTGTTCCCTCCAAAGGGAGTTACTTAAACTCAGCACCTTGAGGCAGTGAAATGTATAAAAGCAGCTGTTGTGTAGGCAGCTGAATTCACCCTGCCTGTGTGTCCTCACCAACATTCCTACTGCACAAGAGGTGGGATGTGCTATGGCCAGCCTGGAGCACATGGTTTGCATTGGCTTGGTAGGCTCAGGCTATGGATGCTAACCAGGTTTTTCCATCGTTTGTGTCTGTTGGAAACTAATTCAGAGTGTTGGTTTGTTTGTGGTTTTGTTTTTTTTTTTTTCCCTGTTCAATTGATAATTTTCATTAAACTTTTAAGTATCTGAAAAATAGGAACAAACTGCTCCAAGAAAGCGCAGGGAAGAAAAAGAGTAAAGGAGCCTAAAATGCTAAAAGTGCCTGAAGGAAGATTTTCTTTCCATGACTGCTCAGATGAAACTAGAACCCTGGGATTTATGGTTGGATTTGATGATCTTACAGGTGTTTTAAAATGAAAATGATTCTACAATTCCACTTTCTCAAAAGCTTAGTGGATTCTAAGAAAAAGCTTTGAAAATACCCAGTATTGCTCTGGTGGATCTTGGCAGCCTTGGAGTGGAGGTGAAGAGACAAAGTTTAGTGCCAGGTTCTTGTTCTTCCTTGTTCTGTTTCCTGCCTGGAAGGTGGACATGGTGTTGTCCAGCCTGAAACTCTGAATTTATCTGCTAGAACTTGTGAAGCTGCTGTAATTCTTGTGGCACTCAGGGCTTTTCTCACGGCTTCAGTTGCTACACCAGGGCAATTATGTGATAGCATCAGGGGCTTTGAGGAGGGAATCCTGCTGACAGGAAAAACAGTCTGCAAATTTGAATGCTAAAAGCAGTAAAAAGGGCAAACTCACTGTTTTGGCTGTAAAAAAGCCAGATTTGTGCAATCAATCTCCAGACTCTTTTGGGACTTGTAGTTGTGTGCTTCTATATTTCCTCAAGCAGTTAAAATCCTTCTCATGATTTTGCCTGTGTCTGCATTCCACTCACAATAGTGTTTTATTAGGAGTCTTAACTTCCAGTGTTCTGTGTAGTTCCTAAAATACTGTTGCTTGTCACTTTTTTTTTTTCCTTTTTCGACTTGGAAGTGGTCAATTGCATTGAGACCAGCACATAAAATACAAGTCAAGTGTCTGAATTAGAAGGATTGTTGGTACTGAGCAGTCTGTGAAAGGACACAAGTTGAAACATTTCTCATAATGTTCTTGGCTTTTTCCAAAACTGATTACACAATTCCAGGAAATTAAATGTAACATTTCTTCACTGAAAATAACTAGGTATAAATAATGGAAAACAAAGAGGAGGGGAAGTAGATGGGGAAGAAAAGTTGGGAGGGGAAAGGAGCAAACACAGAAAAGAAGATTATGTCCTACCCTGGAATTTCAGAGGACACACTGACCCTGGTCAATATTATTAATATATCTAAACCCTGAGCTCTGTAGGCGTAGGGCACGACCTTACTCAGTAATTGAGGAAATCCTTGTGTTGCCCTCTGTGTTTTTTCCATCAGACCTTAAAATTTTCAGCTTGGGTTCTCACCAAAGCTTCCATGTAACCCAGAAGCTTTGTCTGACACCAGAATGAGCTTGGGGCACTCGTCCCTGCCTGGGAATTTTGCCTGGATGCTGGTGGCCAGAGCTGCACAGAGCAGTTACAGTCAGGACTGCCACATTTACACTCTGTCCTCTGCTGTCTTTGTGGAAATGAGTGAAAACTTGTGTATGAAAGCTATTGCTTTCTGATGGTGGAAACAGTAATAATAACCTGATAATGTGAGTATGAACTGATTAGTGCTATATTAAGCATAAAACTTAAGGTGTAAGGGTCTCCTGTTTATCACTTTATTTCTTTTATATCCTAGGAGCACCAGAGACCTCCCCAGGGTTTGAGATCCCTTCCTTCGTTGTCAAACAGACACAGAGGAAAATCTTTTGAGACCACAGCTCAGTGTCCTGCCAGGTCACAGAGTGTTAGTGACTTAATCCAAACTGCATCTTGGTGCCATTTGTTCTTGCAACTGTGTGCCATTGTAGTGGTTGCTATAAAACACTATAAATAATCTGGGAAATTCAAAATATAGCTATAACTGATTACCAAGTGTGTTTACATCACTTTTCAGCTGTTAAAATTCCCAGACTTTGTCTTCAAATTTTGTTAAAAGCTTTATTGCAGAAAATAAGTACTGGGAAGGGTCCTCTTGCCTAATCATAGAATGGTTTGATGGGAAGGGATCTTAAAGATGATCCAGTTGCACCCCTCTGCCATTGGCAAAGACATTTTCCACTAGACCAGGTGCTAGAGCTTCCAGCAGGAGGCTCGTTGTAAAAGCACTGTCTGGTTGAAAATGCATGAGGTTTGCAAAAAACAATTCTTCCATTATGTGTTTTCAATAATTCTGTGTCAAATACTCTTGCTAACCCTTAGTAGGCTTTTAGTATGCACATAGATGTTTTTAATACCTCCAGCATTCAGAAGGATTTTTAATGATTTGTTCAATAATTGATGGAGCTTTGGCATAATTTAGGCTTTTGTGAGAGATGGCAGGCAGATGAGTAGAATATATTTAGTTGTTTAGTTTAATAATCCCTATCTGAATTCTTTAGGTGAAAAGCAGAACAAAGGAATGGAGCAAGTGAGAGAACCTCTTGAAGAAAATTATCCTCCTAGCTGAAAACTGGAGAAAGCCTTAATTAACCTATTAATTCATTGCTTAAGTGTCTGCAAAGTGTTTTCTGAGTAGTAACAGTCATTACCTTCCAGAATTGTGTGTGGTTATATGGGCCTTTATATTTACATCTATTTCCCTCTTAGCCAGTAGATTCAGTTTCTCAGCTCGTTTCCTTCAATCTTGGCGAGATAAAGCAGAAAACAGGAGCTCTCCTCTTCTTCTTTTCTTCTTCTTGTCTTCTTTTAAATACTGAAATGCTCTTTAATCTTTGGTGCTAAATCCATATCTACAGACACCAGTCTACTTTGACAGGTACCAAGAAGTAACCTTTAACGAGGAAAACCACACTGAAAGTGTTTGGATTTTGTCACCAGCTATATAAAATTGCTGGGCTCTTTCTGATATAACCAGAAATGTACTAAACCTGAAGTCCTGGCTTTTAACTGGAAATCGGTTCTATTGCTCACTTACTTCAAAAACAAACAAGCCAAAACTCCCTCAACTCCCAAGTCTTTGCTAGGGTTTAAGTTGTTACAAGGGTTAGGAATTGAATATAATTTCAGGGAAAAAAGGTGTTCGGAGTTCAGACTGTAAAAATGGTAAGTATTGGGTGCTTCTGAGCTAGAAACAAACAAATGCAGCTTGAAGTTTTCCATTAAAAACAAACAAAAGAAATGCTATTGTATGTGTTTACCCAACCTTGTAATAACATGTTACGATACACTGCTTTTCCTGATCATTGCAAAGGTGTTTATGTAGCAAAATGAATTTGATTACAATATTTTTTAAATCCACCAGGCAATCAGCGCAAAAGGTCACCACAGTATCTCTTTCACATTATCCAGAAGCCAGACAGTTATAGTGGAATATATTCATGATAAAGATACAGACATGTTTCAGGTAAGGCTCTGAAATATTTGGATTGTTTCTGCGTTATCCTCTGGGTTTTCTCTGTGACCTGTGGGATTCCCAGAGTCTGACCCCGCTGCATTAATGTGGGAACACTTGGAAATTTTGCATTATTCTGCTCTCTGCAAACCCACACCAGCATCTGTTAATATTCTTACTGACTCCTGTAATTGTACTCTGCCTTCTCTCCAAACACAGCACTGGAGAGAAATGTGTGCTCTGTTTGGATTCATGAATGAGCACAGAATTACACCCACCACCCTCCAGTTAATCACATAGCTGGAGTAAAGAGGAAGTGGGAGGAGTAGGACATGGGATGGGGAAGGAGGAAAATAAAAGGAGCTGTGCAGTAGGGAAGACAAACCAGTGATAAATGATAAACTGTTCCTGTGGGGTGTGCAGATCTCTCAGGTGCTGCAGGGGACTGGGCTGAGTTTCTCCAAGCTCCCTTCTGCTGTCCAACACGTGCTCAGTGTCCTCTGTCTGCATTTCTGTTTTTCTGCATCATTTAACATTCTAATAATAACCTGAGTGATTTCCTTGTGCCATAGTTATTTTTATGTACAGTAAGAGAGTGTAAAAATTCTGTGCGAATTCAGAGACTTCAAACTTGGGGAGCCCAAACATGACAAAAAAACCTTTTTCATTCTACACTGGTCAGATCTGTGTTATCTTTGACCTCTAATTAGAGCATCTCACCAGGAATAGTTATCCCTCTTTATTCAGTTTTTCATATTTAGAAGGGTCAGCAGTTGAGTGCTGTTGACAGAGAGGAAATAACTCTTTGGAGATGTCGTTTCTTCTCTTGACTTCTGTGTTTTGCTCTACATTAAATTTTCCCAGTGTGAGTGAAACTATTAGGTCCAAATAGGAATTGATTAAAACCCAGTCTTATTCATTTGCTGCAGAATGAAGGATTGAACAGACAGTGAGCTGAAATAGGTTTTTCTGTGTTCACTAGTGACAGAAAATGTAACCCATCCATTGGGGCTACTGTGTGATGCTTGTTTAGCTCTTGAATAGCTCCAGTAAAATTTTTTCCTGTATATAAATTTTGAAAAGCCATTTTTGAAAGCTGGATTTTTTTCCCCTTCTTGAGTACAGTAAAAAATGAATAAAGAGTTGCAGAACAGCTGCTTTTTCTGGGCATACTGTATAGATATCTACTGCACAATGTCCTAGTGGTGGGTACAGCTTTTTTTTGGGGGAAAGACACCATTTCAGTCTTGATGTTGTGACTTGATCTCAGTGTGGCCTCGGGTGCTGTGCCCTGGTTCAGGTTTCTGCTCTCTGGACTGTGGCAATAATTCCCCACTGAAGCAATGCCAGAGCAGTTGAAGAGGTTTCCATTATTTAGATGAGCCATTAGATTTTTAACTGTTCTCACGAATCTGTTGGAGAAAAGTTACTTGAGGGTGTTTAGTGCAGCCCTGTAGTACATGATGACAAAATTCATGTCTGTTGATCCACAGAATAGAATTTCATTGTTGGTCAGACAATCCCTGGAGTTTGATGTTTTCTTTTCAAATGTGTGTTCTTGGCTTGTGTAGGATGTGGAAGTTGAAAAGGGAAGGATAATTCCTGGACCACAGGATTATCCTGAGCCTTGAGGCCCCACTTTGACTGCAGTTGACATTTATTATCCTGGGCAAATCACTTGGCTTTTTGTTCTTTATTCCCACTGTGCTTCTTGAGCTGTTGTTCTGCTGTGATGTTTGTAGTTTTCATTTTTTGGGTTTTTTTAAATGTAACTGTATTATGAAATCTGTGTGCAAATGCTGCTATGCATTTGTCTTAGTGACATCCAGGTCAGATTTCTTCATTTAATTGCAAAAAGAATGTACAAATGTGTTCCTCTGCCATCTCCCAGACTCTGTATGCTCCAGCATCCGTGTGCTGCTATAAATAAAAATTTTCTTCAGAGTTTAACCATTCTGTTGACGATGCATTAGGTGAAGTTGAACCAGTTCCTTCATGGTTTGATGGGGATGAGAATGGGTTGATTATACCTGTTCATGCCACTACAAAGAGCCCAAATGTGCAGCTTCTACCCTAAATAACTGCAAGTTTATACAAGAAGCAGGTACATTCAATACAAAGCATCGATTTTTTTTTTTTTTTTTCCTAAAGAATGGCCCTTCAGAAGATACAGAATCCAATTCTTGCTCTCACCAGAGTGAAATTCTATTGAAGCCCAAGAAGCTGCAGCTGTTAAATTCTGTGCTGGCAGGCTTTGCCTTGTCAGGAGCAATGTTTTACTGACAGCAAAGCCAGGGACTGCCTGCCTCTCACACAGCTTTTAACAATCACCTGCAGAGGACACAGCACTGGCTGCCTCTGCTGCACCTGCCACGTTTATGGGTTCTTGTTGGAGGTAGCTATGGGGAAATCATATGACACAATTAGCAAGAATCCCAAAATACAGCCTGAAATTGCTGGAAAGAGGAAAGTATTCTATGATGTGGAGGAAAAGGGGAGAAAATGAGTAATGAAGTGTGTGAAGAGCAGCTCTGAATAATGGACTCGGTCTGTAGTGACAGATGAGTTATAAGTTTTAGAGGGTAGATGTTGATAGCATCAAGGTTTTCATTTATTCTTTAGGCACTTGCTTTTCAGGTAATCTCAAACCCCAATTCTTGATTTAATACAGAGCTTGAGAAAACTGGCAGATTTTGAAGGCCACTTCTTCAAATAAATTCAAATTCTGAAAAGTAGCACAATACACGAGACTGATCCTCTAGAAGGTTTTCTCAGCTGGAAAAGGGAAGAAAACCAAATACTTAAAATACTTGATTTTGCATAGACATGCTTGTGACACAAATGAGATAAGTACTTAAATGCTTATACAAAATACTACATATCATTCTAGAGATTTAAAAAAGCACATACAAGCATTGTTTATAGATCTTAATGGTTACATCCATCCAAACAAATTTGAATTTCATGGTGGATGATTTAGTGTGATGTAAGAAAGGCTGGGAGCACACATTTGTGTGCTTTGTCATCCTTTAAGGAAAAATGAGGCAGATTTTTCTCTAATTGCATCTAAAAGCTTCGAGAGAATGATTTATTTCAGAGACTGCAAGAGGCAGAAACTTGTTATGAACAAATTAATTTCATATTTGTTATTGATTATCCTTCAGGGGACTCCATGTACAGATAGAGAATAGTCAGAAGTTATTCATGAGGTTCCTGCTGCTGCTGCTCAGTGCTGACTCTTAGCAGGAATTGCTTTGGATGGGAAATAGAAGCCTGGTAGAAATAATACTGTAAAAGGAAGAAGAATATTACTTTGTAAGATTTAGCTTCAAGTTGTCAAGTTACATAAATCAGAAATATCCCATATTAAATAGTTTCTAAACTCTGTCTCCTGGGTATTCTAGTAGACACTTTCTGTGAGAAATTGAAATGTAGACTTTTGATTAGGCCTTGTTGAGTATTTCCTGTGCAGGGAGCTCATCCCATTTTCTGCTTGTGCTGAGTCCTGTGATACAGGAGACAGTAACTGGATGTGTCATTGGAGACAGGAATTTTGACATATGTTAGAGTGAAACCCTGCAAAGCAGAGCTTGAAGCAGGAGAGAAGTACAGGAGAGATCTCTGTGCTGTTTCTGTCAATCCAGTTGTTACAAGGCTTAGGTGTTGATAATATTAATTTCCTTGAGTCTTGAACAATGTTTCTTTAAAGCAGGTTTAGTTTACAGGCAGATTTGTTTATGATGGAACCATACATGGCTCCCCATAGCTGGCTTTCAAGAGCAAGATGTGAGCAGAATGGAACTTCTTGGGAGACAATGAGATCTTGTTTAGTGAGGAGGTTATTTAATATCAGTGTAGATACCTGATACTGAAGGTAGTTTCATGTGAAGAGTATTCCTAATTCTATTTGATCCTAAGGTGTCTGTAAAATTAATATTCTGTTCCACTTCTTGTTCCTCAGCTCCACTTTCTCACTTAAGCTCCAAGTTGGTGTAACACTAATTTGCCTGTAGAAATATTGATAAAGCTTCACTGTCTGGCTGCCAGTCAGATCTTTCCATCAATGCAGTCATGAAGTTTTCTGTCCCAGATGTTTCCAGATTTAGAATTAAAATTTTTAGCTGACAAGATAGAAAAATCTTCCTGTCTACTGCTAAGTGTGTTTCATGTCTTCTCAACTCAAGAAAGTTTCTTAATTCTCTTAGTCATACATGTCCATGATTAGGAATACATTTCATCATATGGTGGGTTTTGCCTGAAAACTTTCTTTCTGGGACTACAAATCCTGAAAACATGAAGGTGGGTAGCTCTTTGTTATGACATATCAAAATAACCTAGTTCTGGGTCTAAAAAAAAAGTTCTTTATTTTCATGGCAAATATATTTGGAACTGGAAAATGTGAATAAAACTCGTCAATCCAAGGTAACGTTTCCTTAACTGACAGAATGTAGTGGCAGGTAATTTGCTGTGGTTGGATGAGGAAATAGCAAGGTGATAATACTTTTTTTTGGTGACAATACTCTTATCAAACAGATCAGCTGTGCTGATCTATTTCAAGCAAGCATGAATATCACTTGTGATAAGTGAAAATTTGTCATTCCATGTCCGTGATGTGTTTCTGCCTAGGACAAATGTGAAAATGCAGGTTAGTCTCTGGTTGGATCTTGCCATCCAAAAATTAAATAGACAGAAGTTTACTGATGTCATCAGTATTAACCTGGCAAAACTGTGTCCTCAATGCTTCATATTTCTGTGGGTATTTCTAGTTAAACCATTATCTTTTTTTTTTTTTTTTTTTTGCAGGTTGGGAGGTCTACAGAAAGCCCCATAGACTTTGTAGTAACAGATACTATTTCAGGAAATCAAAATAATGATGAAACCCAGATTACCCAGAGCACCATCTCCCGATTTGCCTGCAGGATTGTTTGTGACAGGAGCCCACCATACACAGCAAGGATCTTTGCAGCTGGCTTTGACTCATCTAAAAATATATTTCTTGGTGTAAGTACTGTTAATAATGATGTTATGAGCAAGCTGGTTTATATTCTGTTGCTTTCAAGCCCCCAAATCTCCTTGTACTGGTTGATAACTTGCATTGTCATTAGACTTTTATTACTCCAATGCACCAGCTGCAGCGTTAAGTAGAAATTGCAGTTTTATGTGCCTGAGTTATCACCAGCAGAGACTCGTGGTCATAATTGTCTTTAACAATGAACTTCACTTCAGTAACTGTTAGTGGGTTTTCTTTAGGTTGATTTGATGTATTTTCTGATAGTCACTGTGACTGTCACACGTAGGAAAAAGCAGCCAAGTGGAAAAACCCTGATGGCCACATGGATGGATTGACAACCAACGGGGTGCTGGTCATGCATCCCAAAGGAGGCTTCACCGAGGAGTCCAAGCCCGGGGTGTGGCGGGAGATCTCGGTGTGTGGGGACGTGTACACGCTCCGGGAGACCAGGTCTGCTCAGCAGAGAGGCAAACTGGTGAGTGGGAGGTAATTGTTGGATCCCAGAACCCTGGGCTTTTTTGAGCTTTCTGGCACTGGCCCCCTGCAGAACGCTGCTTTGGACCTGAGCCTGTGCAGAAGGCTCCAAATTTGGGTGATGGAGTTAAAATCACGGGGGTGTAGTGAAATAGAAGTGTGTGATTGCACATGGTGAAGGGCTTTGTATTTGAGGTTTTTATAATATAGTAATAGACATGGGACAAGATGGAAGATTTTGGGTGGTGTCTCAGTCTTCATCTTCCTTCTTCATTTCAGGCAGTAGTTTCTGGTTGGTCAGTCAGTGCCACACTGAGGGTTATGAGAATTTAGTTATTGGATTAAAAGTATAAATAATATAAGTGTTATTTCTCTATTGGACTGTTTAGCTTTAAGAGACCTTGTAGCAACTGGATCTGGCTCCATTTTTCCCACTTCTAGCAGGTAGCTGGAAGTGCTGCTGAACTTTCTGTACTTTTGATAAGATTTAATAAACAACCAAGGCCAAACACGAGAAAATTCGTTTCCTTTGTATATTTTATAATCCTGGCTCTGAGTGAAGGCACAAGAAACTGAGACAAACCACTAAAGTGGTGCAAAACTCCCAGCACTGTTACAGTAACTCAGATTAATCAAGGGGTACTTATTTTCCTGGCTTGGAATGGAGGCAGGTACAGGGTGACTGTCTCTGAGTAGTGGGCACTACAAGCATCTAAATCTGTGTGTTAGGGCAGATTTTGCACTGCTTTTCTGTTACTGATTGTATGGGAGAGCACTCATAACTTTCTGGTAATGCCACTTCTCCAACTGAAATAGCACAGAGTGTAATAGCTAAATAAATTCTGCTCTGGGGTCTCCATCTCTGAAATGTTCTCCTGGGCATGAGGATGTCTGGAAGTTGCTGCATGCAGAGCTGTCTTTTGCAGTACTTCCAGAAGAGTCCACTTTTGTGCAAAAGCAGTTTGGGTAAGGCAGCTTCTGTTTGATTTACCTGCCACTGGGAAGATAAGAGGGGCCCTGGAAGTATATTCCTGTTTTCTCCTGTGAGACAGGATGGGCTTTGCCTTTCCCAGAAGTGAGGGATTTCAGCTGCCAGGGACCTGTGACACATAAAACCAGGAGAGAAGTTCAATGAACTGACTTTGCAACTCTGCCATTGGCTTTGCAGGAAACTGACTGCTGAAAGAGTTAGGGGAATGGAGTTGGGCTGTTCTGCTTTCAGCAGACACCCTGCAGGACATAAATTGCTTTGTCACACTGATGGTGGCAGGCAAACGTTGCCTGGGGACCTGGACAGATGATGTGGCAATTGCAGCCTTTGTACGTGGTTAGCAAAACACCTTTTTAGTGCTGCTAAAGAGAGGCACAGCAAAACAAATGAATCCCCCTCCCTGCATCCAAAATGAGTTGAATTCTCATTTAAATAGAATTGCATGGCACACGGGTATTGATGTGATCAGTATTCGTTGATTGGGTTCATAAAACCAAATGCAGGCTGTATAATGAATTGAACACATTGCATACGAGGGAGCTTTTTGCCTTGCTGTTTGTGTAGGAATTATCTGAAAAGAGCATCAGATGGAGGCTTCTCTCATCTCTACTTAAACCACTGCATTTTTCTGCTGGAATTACATTTCACTGGTGACCTCTTAGCTGTATTCTGTATTGTACCACTGAGGTGTTTTGTGCAAGGATGATCCACAGTTAATCTGTGAATTTAAACTGGATTAAAATGTAAATGCTAAATTGGTTGTCATTCATAGTGTTCTTAGGCAGATGTGATGATTTCATGTGACCTACTTAATATATTTGTTTGTATTTGGCTATTTATTCTGCATTAGTGGCATTTTCTGCATACTTTCTGTGCATAAAGCCAGGCAGTAGGTCTGATTTTCTCTTTAATTTTATAAAGAGCCTTTTTAATATATATATATCTATTCATCGTTAATGAACTGATACCAAAAGCACAGGTTGCTTATGTTTGTGACATTAAAATAAAGAATATTTCAGGCAAGTGCATTGTGTGTTTGGCATAATCCCTTGAAAATGTTTCAAGTACCTGCTTTTAATCAGAGAGAAGCCTTTAGGCAGTGCACACTGGGGCTGTGTTTTCTTGGAATACCTCATTAAATAAAAGGCCTAATGAGTGGGGTGGGTAATTGTTCATAAGCTGAGCCTGTGTGGCTTCAGATTTGTCACCTGAGAAATGGAACTGGTGTAATTCTGTCTGCTGCAGTGCTGAGCCATGCAGGTACCTGTGCTGCTGCTGGGGCACTCTCTGGGAGCTCCTGCTTCTGCAAAATGCTTGACCCTTGCCACAACCCCAGAAAAATCTGAGAGGTGGGACAGCTTGCCTGTCCTGGGTGACAGTTTTTATCCAAAAAGGACTTTTTTATTTTATTTTTTTTTTTTTGACCGTGTGAGCAGCTTCTGGCAGTCTATGTGGGCAAAGAATTCCAGGAGAGAATCTGCTAATGCAGCCCTCAGGGAATGGCATGTCTTTCCTTCAGTCTATCAGGACTTACTGAAATATGACAGAGACACAGAGAATCAATATTGGAGAAAAAAAATGCATGCTCAAGGGCCCAAAGACTGTGTATAATAATTTGTGTTGCAACTGCAAATGCAAATCCCCTGTACAAGCACAGAATAAGAGACTGGGGCTCATTATAATCCTAGATGTAGGTTAGGAGGTGAGGTGGATTCAGGACAGCAACGAGACAAAATTCAGCAAGCATTTACCGAGGTTAGTGCTGTAATAATTGATAAAAGATTGGTGTTAATCACAAAAGCATTGGGGTTTGTATAAACCAGAATACTAAGCTGTGAAGTGAAGCATGGACACGTGATAAAGGAAATTATATGATTAAATAATTCTGTTTAAAATCACCTTGTTATGTTGTATTATGTTACATTATAATATGTTATGTTTTTCAAATAAGTTGTATTGGCTACCAGCTTGCATAATCAGACTTTCCAAAAAGCCCTTCCTGCCTTTGTCTGATCAATGCTGCCTATCCCAAAAACCAGACTCCCAGAACTTCCCTGGTGGTCATCTACAGGGATGATGGCAATCTGTGACTGATTATCACCCAAAGGCTTTGTGAATTTGTGAACAACGAGAACCCACAGTATAAGAAGAGGCTGCAAACCAAGGTTCAGTGGAGCGTGGAGTGGGCAGTGACCCCTCACGTTCCCCAGCGCTGCTTGCTCTGTCTATATCAAATCAAACAACCTAAATTTTGCTGAATATCGAGACTTTTGTCTTTATAACAATGCTGAAAGCGATGTGTGTAAAATGGCTTCTCAGGCTAAACAGCCTCCCCTTGTGTCCTTGCCCCCAGGTAGAAAACGAGACCAACATCCTTCAGGACGGCTCCCTGATCGACCTGTGCGGGGCCACGCTGCTGTGGAGGACGGCGGACGGGCTCCTGCACACGCCCACGCAGAAACACATCGAGGCTCTGCGGCAGGAGATCAACGCCGCCCGGCCCCAGTGCCCCGTGGGCCTCAACACCTTGGCCTTCCCCAGCATCAACCGCAAGGACGTGGTGGAGGAGAAGCAGCCCTGGGCCTACCTCAGCTGCGGCCACGTGCACGGCTACCACAACTGGGGCCACCGCAGCGACACGGAAGCCAACGAGCGCGAGTGCCCCATGTGCAGAACGGTCGGCCCTTACGTGCCGCTGTGGCTGGGCTGCGAGGCCGGGTTTTACGTGGACGCCGGGCCCCCCACGCACGCCTTCACGCCCTGCGGACACGTGTGCTCCGAGAAATCGGCCAAGTACTGGTCGCAGATCCCGCTGCCGCACGGCACTCACGCGTTCCACGCCGCCTGCCCCTTCTGCGCCGCGCAGCTCTGCGGCGAGCACAACTGCGTCAAGCTCATCTTTCAGGGCCCCGTCGACTGAAGGAAATCGTTTGGAAATGGCCACAATAAAAGTTTTTTTTTTTTTGGTTTTTTTTTTTTTTTTTTTTTTTTCTCTTGTGACGGTTTACTGTGAAGATTTTTGCCACTAACTCTTTAGGTTTTAACTTTTTTTATGATGTTATTAATGAGAGGGGGTGGTAAGGGTGGGGATGGGGGAGATGGAGGGACCGTGGTGGAGTTGGGATGCATTGATACCTGGAACTTGACAGATATCAGTGGTGTTGCATGCTCAAAAGCAGCATATTCATGGAGTCTTCTTGGTCAAATTGTAGTATATTTGTAATCTTTTTATTAGTACCCTGGAACAGAAAAAGGTGTCTTAAACGATTTTTTTAAGCTAAGATTTTTTAATGGAAAGGTTTTTTCTTCTAAACTTTGACAAGCCTTTAAAACCTATTTTTCAAATCTAGAAGGAACATACAGAATGTAACTGTCTTTAATTTGCAATATAATTTAACTTGAATAGTTTCTCAAGGAGCAAATGCAGAATGTGTGGACAACCATAGGTGAATGTTCACTAGAGATAATTGGATATGTAAGAGAAAAATTAGCTGCCTAAAGTGTAGAGAATAAAAGCTATTAAAATATCTATTATGGTATAACACAGCTGGCCAAAAAGGCATCAAAGATTACTTGAAACTGAGGAAATCCTGTTTGCATTGATTTCCTTTCAGTGTAGTAGATATCCACTGGCTATTAGGTCTGGGAAATGGCTGATTATTTAATTTTTTTTTTTTTTTTTTTTTTTTTCCATTTAACCTGCATCTGGTGAAACCACTTTACTCTTTTCCATCCTTAGCTCTGGGATTTAAGCTGATGTTCTGTGTCTGTGTAGTCCAGCCTTTTTATTTCTGCTTTGCTTACGCGGCACCTTTGGGTGAGTGGAGGCCACAGATTCCCAAAATGGTTTGGGTTGGAAGGGACCTCAAAGCTCATCTCATTCCACCCCCTGCCATGGGCAGGGACACCTCCCACTGTCCCAGGGGGAAGCCACAGCTTCTCTGGGCACCCTGGTGGAGCCAGAGACGTGTCCAGGCTTTACTGCAGTGATAAAAGGGTGGTTTAGGTACAGCTGGTACAGAATTTATTTTACATAAACCTGAATTCAGGAAAGCACTTAGTCTGTGTTTAAATACAAGCCCACGGCTGGGACAGTTTGGATTCTCAAGAGCTTCAGTGCGTTGCGGTTATTTGCTGTTATGTTTTTAAATAAAATAAAAAAAGCGATTTTAAATAAGTTATTCTTTAAGCTCACTTTAAAGCATTTTCACTAGAAGGGAGAGCATCATTTCCAGTTCAGCTGAGCATTTTTGTTCACTTTTCAACTTGCTGCCATCTGTCACCTTTTCTTTTGCAGATTGAGTTGTGTTTGTATCTCTTTTTTTCCCCCCCAAATGTTTGCAAATCAAACAACATTCAAATGTAATCAAATATATGCACCAGGGTGGTACATCTGAAGTGGATCACTTGAAATTCGTGACTTTTTAAGAGAGCTGATAAATGTTTACTATGGAAATAATTAAATCAGAATTTCATATGAGGTGTACCCTGCCCACTGTTAGGCTCATTTCATGCAGAATGATAACACTTTGATTTGTGGGTTTTTTTCTTTATGCTTTCTGTACTCTTGGTATCTGAGGTATCAATCTATCCAGGTTTTTTTTTTAAAAAAAAGAATTTGGGAGGAAATCTATAACATCTCTAGATGAAATGGATCATTCAAGCTCAGTCTGTTTAATCAGCTATAGCTTTTTGCTATATTTGTGCCCTTTGTATAAATATATAATTTATATGATTTTAATATATTCTGTATATATATATACTTGAATTGGCCTGTTCATATTTTGGTTGTAAAATTGTTTTATAGTTAACCTTATAAACATTTTACATGTCCCTTGCCAATGGTGATGGGATGGACTTTGTCTGCTGCTGTTTTTAATATAATTTTGCTGTATACATGTTCAGCATTTTAATAATTTGAAAATAGCTTTACTTTTCTTTTTATGCTTTTGCTGTTAAAAAAAAAATATATAACTCTGCAGCATTTTTTATCTAGAAACCCCAAACTGTACAGTTTTTTTGTCCCACTCAGTGACTGGAAACAGGATAAACCTTGTTAACCTACAACTCTATGCTTCTTCCTAGTGCCTTTTCAAAGAGATCCTCTTGTGATTTCCATATTCCAAGTCCTCACTCCCACAAGGCAACCTTGTGGCTCATCTCCATGGAGAGTGGCAGCCCAGCCCAGGTGGGCAAGGAACACCTTTGGCTTTCTGGATGGGAGGTGCCTGTGCAGGTTCCTCAGATGCCAAGTGCAGCATCATTCCTGGTTAGCAGATACCTCACCTGGAGAGGTGACCTCACTCCCCCTCCCTGCTGGACTCTGCAAGGCTTCACCTGCTGCTTGAAGAGATGTTGGGACTCACCTGTGGGAGCTGCTCCTGCCTGCATTCAGGCCCTGGAGCTGTGTGTGTGCCATTGCCAGCTCTGTTGGCAGCCCTGGGGCTGAGCTGAGCAGGGTGTGCACATGGTGCTGTCTCCTCTGACCCAGCTCCCTCCCCCGTCTGCTTGGCTCCTTCCCTTCACTGGTGCAGTTTAATTGCTGCTTCAGGGCTTCACCTCCCTCCTGTTCCCTGTGGAAAGAGAATGTATGCTGTTGGAGGAATCCTCACTGGAAACAGCACATCATCAGGCTTGCTGTGTTTGGCTTGTGTGAAGCAGAACACTGGATAATGGTTGGTATCCAAGGGAAGTGTCTGTTTGAAACTGTTTAAACAAGATTTTTTTTTTTTTTCTTCTTTTGCTGTCAGCAGTTCTGTATAACACAAGGAATGCTGCAGGAAGGAAAACTCTCAGAATTCCAGAACTGGCAAGGCTGGAAGCGACCACAGGGGCTCATCTGGTCCCACCTCCCTGCTCAAGAAGGGCCAGCGTGCAGAACAGGGCACAGGATTGTGTCCAGGTGGCTCTGGAATATCCCCAGTGAGGGACACTCCACCCTCTCTGGTCTCAGTGCTCAGTCACTGCACAGGGAAGTTCTTCCTCGTGGTCAGGAATTTGTGGCATCAGTTCCTGCTCGTTCCTCTTGTCCCACAGAGCAGAGCCTGGTCCATCCTCTCGGCACCCCCCTTTAGATGTTCATACACATTGATGAGGTCTCTTCTCGGGGCTGAACATTCCCAGCTCCTTCAGCCTTTCCTCCACTCCCTTCATCCTTGTGGGAGGATTTGCCTTCTGCTGTTCCTGCTCCATCATCTTCGTTTCCCTCCTGTCCTGAGGAGCCCAGAACTGGGCACAGCACTCTGGGTGTGCCTCAGCAGGGCAGGATTCTTTCCTGGGAAGCAATTTTCCAAAGTTTGTATGGAATTCAGGGACTTTGCTGTTCAAATCAAGGGTCAGTCCCGCAGAGCTGGATTTGCTGGGGAGGCAGAAGAGTTTGTAACGTGATTTTCCTCAACCCCTGCTCTGGTGAAATGATGGAGCATTCAGCTCTAAGCCCTCACCTTCCCTCAGCTCCATAAACAGCTCCTGTGCTCTGGTACCTCGACAGGAAAAAGGAGTTTGTGGATAAATAAAACTGGAGTCAGTAAACTTGAGAACTACCCTCAAGTTCATTCATTATTTCAGTGTTATGATGTTCTTTGCATCCCATTTCTACTGCTGGCAATGTATTCCACAAGGATTTTTCATCACCTGTTACTGTTGATTCTCTTTGAATGCCTCAAAAGCAGCTTTGACTGCATCACTTAGAACCAAAAGTTTTTTTCTAGTCTTGATTTTTTTTTTTTTTTTAAAGATTATATCTGTCGTATCCATGCACGCTGGAGCTGGAGCACTTCCTTTTTTCCTGGCAGCTTTTTGGGAGTACACTGAAGTCTAAATAAAATGAGTGGTGAATGCTGTTCTTACTGGGAGTTACTGTCCAGTTATACAGGAGAGCTCACACAAGACTGTGTTTTGCTCATTAATTTTTTTCAATTTTTTTTTTCAGTTAAAGGAGAATCTTTTTTTTCCATTTTGAGGGTGGGAGTGGGGATCAGAAGAGATGAAAGCCATGGTTGAGCTGGTTCCAGTAGGGACAGATCCACCTTGCAGCAAAGATGTGCCAGGAACTGCTTGGAAATGTGGCTGGATCTGTTCCTGCTTTCAGTCCTCATCCATGCTCTGAAAAGGATTCTCCTCAGTTTGTTAGGAAGTTCTGGGATGCCATGGAAAGCCCGTGGTCTTCCCACTGAGACACTCCTTGGTGTTTTAATGGCAGTTCCTGGAATTTGAGGATTTGGCTTCAGAGCCTGAGTGAGGAGCCAGAGATGCTGAGTGTGTCATAGTGAGAAACTGCAACGGAACTGTGAACAGAACTGAATTATCTTTTAGTGTTCACACCACTCATAGGAAATCTGGTTTGGCTGTGGTCACTCTCCCGTTAGTGTTCTTGCACTAGCTGGTGGCTTCCTCACCATTTTTTTCATTCTTCTGGAAGTGGAAGGAAACTTCTTTAAGACCATAATGTTTCTGTTTCTTCATCCCACAGTCTTAACACTTCCCTTAGGTTGGAGAACCATTGGTAGGGACCTGGCTGTGGTGAGGACTGGCAGGCATTTAAATCCATTTTTTAGCCTTGTAGGAAAACTGACCTGGCTCTTCCTTTTCATTTCCTCAGTTTTTCACCCTCCTGTGAGTCCTTGGCTCCTCATTTTCTGTTTATCCACACAGTTGCAGGTACACAAATAAATACAGCTTGGAAGGAAAACAAAACACAGCCTGGGCTTGCAGTGTCTTTTTGCAGATTTTTCTCGTTATTCTGGGTTTTCTAAGCACTCATCACAAGTCTGCACATGGTGTTGTGAGGGAAAAGGACAAACATAGAAGGTAAGGCTGGTTTTGGGGGGTGGGGGGTGGAGAGAGGTAGTTTCTAGGATGGATTCACAGTGGCTCTGCAAACTGTGTCCCACTGAGTGCAGGGGACACTGGATCTGGGAAGAGCAGTGGAGTGACCCTGGACAGGCAGTAAAGATGGAATTTGACTGCCCGAGCTGCTCAGTTTTTGTTTATTGGCAGCAGAACAAAACCAGGAGCAGCTTGGACACCCAAACACCAGAAAAAAAAACAAAAACCAGCGTCTGTCCAGATTCCCTCACTGAGGGCATATTTATACTTCCCTGGTGGCCAAACCAGTCTCGAGTCACGTCAAGTCCCTCGTGCTGCTGTCCTGGGGATTGGGGATTGGGGATGGCTCTGCTCTTGGATTGCATCCAGCGTGGAGAGCCCTTGGAAAGCAGCACAGCTGTAGGAAAAGCCTCTCCCACAGCGAGCCCTGGGTGATGGAGGGCTGATGTTTACCTTAAAAACAGTGTGAGCAGCTGTTCAACTTCTGGGTATATTTGTAAAATCGGTCTTTTTATACACCGTGTGAAATGGACTGGAATAATTTCTTTTGCTGTTGTACCTGTGGAAGTACAAGCCATTTTACAGGAAAAAAAAAAAACCTATAAAACAAATTAAAATACTATCTCAGTATTGTCACTGACTCCTTCAGTTTATTTTCCCTGCTGGTTGGTTGTCAGAGCTTGACTTTAATTTGCAAAAAAACCATATAAACAACTTCAGAAATAAATGGTTTCTTTTACTCTTTCATCCCCTTTCTACTCAGCAAACAAAATCCGAAGTCTTTGATTGAGGATTCTTAAATATTGGAGGTAGTGGAGAATATTTGGGTGTGAGTGCTCTGGAATTTCAGTTAATTCCCTTCCCTGATTTTTAAATTGAACTGTTTGTTTTCAGTGCCAGCTGCCTTCTTGCAGTGTTAACGTAATTGCTAAATAAAAGCAATTTCCAGGAATAATATGCTTTGTGACTCTTAAAATTAATTTCCATAATGGGAATTCAGTGGTTTGTTTTCCATCTGTGTATTCTGTATCCCTTTTTTGCAGGTGGCCCCCGTGAGTACAGGAGC